GCGCGCGTCCTTGGCAGCGATCATCTGCGATGGAAGCCGCCTTGCAGCCTATGTCAAGGATGAGAAACATCGACTGCAGACGCTGGTGCAGACGCAGCCAACGCTTTTTCATCCGCAGACCGTGCTCGCACCGGCACTACACACGCTGTTGCCCGACCGCCTACCGTGGTGCGAGACGCTTCTGCTCTCGACGGTTCAATTAGCTCCGACGAGTGCCGCACCAAGCAATCGGATGACGGCTCCTGACGCCAGCCTCGTTTTGCGAGTCCTGCACTCGATCCACGCGCTGAATGGCGCGACGCTGCAAGCGCTCGTGACACTGTGGGGTGCTATGGCCCTTGACGCGATCGCGACCTTCTTGATCGCGCTGGACGCGGATGCTGTCGGTCTAGAGGCTAGCGTTCTGGCGGTGGTGACGACGACGACGCTGCAGGCGATTCAAACAATCATGGAGAAGGAGACGGCTTTGTGGCGTGTCATGGCGAGCTCAACGGCGCGGGTCCTCTTGGCAGTGCAGTATACATCGTCGATAATCTTGGATACGTACCTGGCAGCGATTGTCAAGGCAGTCGGTGATACGAATGCGCTGCACGACGCCTGTGTGTGGCCGCTACTGCAAGATGCCACTGCGATCGGCTTGTCGCTGTCTGGTCAACGAACGCTGGCCTCGGTGATGCTTAACGTGCTTCCCACGTACGAAGACTAGGAAACGCTGTCGTTGGTGTCGTCGGACGTGGCCATGAAGGAAGTGGTGCTTGGCCCGTGCTGCCGCGACTGCCGTCGCTTTGGAGCATTTTGCGATCGTCGACAGAGGTCAAGTGGGTGGGTATGCCGAGTCAACGAATACCTTGTGTGACCAAGCGGCTGCACAACTGCTGACGACGCGCCTGTCGTGCAGCATCAACGATCGTGCGACGTACCGAAGGTCCGCGTTGCAACGTTCATGAAGCGCCACGCTTTGGTCATCGAGACGCAAAACCACAAGGTGGAGCAACAGCGCCGAACGCGCACGCTCGTCGCGTTGCTGGATGACGAGCACAACAAGCGCAAGATGGCGTCTCCTGACCAAGTCGAAGTGGCTGAGATATCAACACCCAAGCGCCAGAAGCTGCCGACTTGCAGTTAGCCATTAAAACCGTATCTACCAGTATACGATGTTCTCGATGTTGGTCCCCGTAGCTTCAGATCATCTCCAACGCGGCGCCGCTGTCACATCAGCACAGCCGCGTAGACGCCGTCTTTTGGACGAGCCCATCAGGTGCACCACCACGTATCGGAGGCATGACTGCACTGTGGTTTTCGACCAAGCTAGCGATCGAAGGCACAATACATCCATCACAAATTTCCCGTGCTTGAATGTGCGTGGGCAGGGTCCTACAGCGAACGGACATGGATTAAACATGAACCGTACACAGTCACACAGCACTGACGCACCCCCAGATTGCATGCTGTTCAAAGAAATCATGAATTTAACTTTAAGCTTAGTCGTTTATTATGAGGTCTTGACCCTCCCGCGCCGGGAGGGAGTTTAGGCCTCATTTCGTCAGCAATTGGCGCCGAAGTTTGCTGGTTGTTATCCGGATTTTGTGCTTGCCTTGATTGGAGAAGAGTTGTTCCTGCAAGAGCCCGAGCTTGATTGTAATCGATGTACAGTACGTGAATATTTCCTTCATCGCGATCAGCACTCTCGACTTTTTTTGCAATCCTTGTCAAGAGCATGAGCGTAACAGATGGAAGGAGTACTCGCAATTGAGACGTGCTTGAGACTAGTAATTTGCTCCTGTATTTGCAAACCCCTCTCGAGGTTTAAATTTGCTATTTGTACATTGAAACGTAATGCGAAAATAGGAGAGGAACGGCACCCAAACTCGGCTCTGCGTTGCACCGTTTGTCGCCAAGCTCCGACCAACTGCCGTTTCTGTCACGATCCTCAACAGCTGCTGCATCACGCGCAAGATTAGAGATCGGAGCGATCTCGCTCACGTTCAAAGTATCGTGGCACCGATGTGCCCATCTGAGTCGGAGGCGTTGGAATACAGTGACTCTCATCACTTTTGAACAAATGTGAGTTTGAGAGTTTGGTCTCAACGGTGCCATGCACCAATATATAGTGACCGGATAACTACAGTATCCGGACAATTGATAGCTCACAGAGCTCTTGTTGCTCTCTCGCAGCACTCAGCGACTCTTACTCTCTTCTCAGCCCTCAATGCCACGACCTGATCCTTACCACGCCGCACCAATCAGACTTCACCAACTAGGCAGGGGCGTTACGGCCACATCTTCCAGCCACAACGTGCAAGAGGTATATTTATTTCAACCTCGATAAATCTGCGCTACTCCAGCGGTTTGAAGCCTTTATTCAGAAAGTGGTGCTCTCTTCGGGACTTGAACCCGGACCTACCTGGTGGTAAACCAGTGTCTAAACCGCTATACTAAAAGAAGTCAACAAGGACACCCTTTCTTGACTGCTTTCAAAGACAAAAAGGCAAAATGGCTGGTCGCTCCAAAGAGTTGTCCAGTCGCTCTTCCCCCACAACCCCGTGCAACGAGAACTGAGCGCGGCTGCAGAGTGAATGGCCTTGTGCACGGTACTGTATTGTACATACTACAGTCGAACCTCCCAGAGCACACCGGTGTCACTGATAATGGATCGAACACTTTGGCACGGTATATGGCTCATGTATCCCAATGCGCCGCGAGCTCAAGTTGGGGTCACACTACGCAAGCTCACTGCGGGGTGCCAATATGCAAGAGAGACACAATATTTCGTATCGTCAAAGACACGTGCCTGCGTGCGTGTGCGTAGTATCCTGTCAACGGCCGCAATCATGCCCGGCAGCTATGCCGGGCCTATTTCAAATCCCCTGTTTTTCAAAGATTCAAAGATCGCAGACCGCCTAGTATCACTTTGCGCACGTTCAAGGTACGTGACAGCTCAGCTTCTGGATGACGGAATTCCAGTGCTGAGTTTAAAATATTGCGTTAAATAGTTATAGCATTCTTGTCATTCGCACTTCAACTGATTTGGTTAAGCTCATATTAAGGGCGCAAATTTTCACGATCCCAGCCGCCTTTCAAGCTTGCAAAACAGCACTGCTTGCGAGGTACTCTTCCAGCAAGGTCAAGGCGAAGGAGAAGAATTATTCGTTAGAGTCTAATGCATTTTAATACAATATTTGTAAAATAAAAGCAAAACGCATTAAACAAAACATAACTCGACAACCCCGTGCAAAGGCTACTAGATACTGCACAGTAAGTAGACTTATCTTGAATCGATGAAGCCTTGCAGTTTGAAAATACCCGTCGTGCGCTCTATCATGTATAATGGTGATATCACTTGACTTTGGCATGTGTCAACAACCCAGTGTTTTCCGCATGTTCAGAGTGTTGGGTGACCGTTGCACTTGCTACGGGGCTGCAGCAGGGGCTGGGGCTGCAGTTCGAATACTGAGGGGCCGTAAACAGCTGTTTATGGACCTTGGTAAAACACATGTGAGGTGGCAAACACTTGCTCGACATTCGCTGGAGCAGTTTGGCGCTGTCCTTATCACTCACTTTCCAATTTGCCTCGTTTCGTCCATCAGAGTCAAGCAGCATGGGGGTACCTACAACAACGCCCGAGTTGTCGCAGCTCGTTGTCGACTTGTCCGAGGCGCGAGCCGCGTCGCGCGAGCTTCAGAATGCGCTCAACTCGAACGACGAGGCGTCAATTCCCGCCGCCGTCGATCGCCTCAATGTACTCACGACCAAGCTCGGTTTGGTGAAGTGGACCATCGACGACGACAAGCTCGCGGACTCGTCCAGCCTCTTTGAGCGCCTCCCAGTTCTCACCACGATCCTTGACGATGCGCTCACGTCATCGGAGCCTGAGCCCGACTTTTCGGACAAAGAGGTGATCACCCACGCGAGTGGTGGCGCCGTCCTCTACGGCGTTCGCTTTGGTGTCTCGGGCAACGACTTGGTCCAGCGCGCGGAAAAACCACTGTTGCAGCCACCAGCAGAGTGCAAACTCAACGGTCCGATTGCCAACACGATCACGGCCTACGAGCAGTTTGCAAGCGCCGAGGCCGCGACGACCTTCCGCACCACGGTGCAATCGTGCGGCAAGTCGTTTGGCCTTGACGCCACGGGCTCCTACGGCTTCTTTGGTGGTAGCGCTGGTCACAACTCGGGGTCCAGCGCAGAGAGTCGCAACTCGACGACGTCGGCGGCAATGACGACGTCGGTTGCGCACGTCACGTACGCCTTTGTGCCGGTCAAGTCGTTCCGGCTCGACCGTCCGTCGATGCGCCTTACGGACGAGGCGATCAACGATGCGAAAAACGTGACGGCGTCCACGGCGGCGGCGTACTTTCTCGAGGACTATGGCTCGCACGTCTCGAGCGGCAACTACCACCTCGGCGGCATCTACTGGAAGACGACCGAGATGCGCACGAAGGAGGCCACTATCGTTCGCGAGATGACCGAAGCCTGCCGCAAGCACGCATCGTCGCATCTCTCGGCCGAGTACGGTGCGTTTGGGTACGGCGTCGGCATTGACGTTCGCCGTGGCACGTTTGAGGCCAGTGCGGATGCGTCCGGCTCGAAGAAGGAAGCCCGTCAATGCGACATTGAGACGCGCCTCGAGCACACGGGTCCTCATGCACCAAGCTTCACCATCTTCTGCGACAAGCTGCATGCGAGCAACCGAACGTGGCGCGTCATTGACCGCCCGGCGTCATCTCAAGCGCTCATTGGCGTCTGGGACCTCCTCGCCGAGATTCCTGACTGCGCGATTGCGGCCGACCTCATCCGCAAGATGTGGCTCACGTCCGCGCAAGCGTTGAGTGCAGTACCGTGCGTGCGCAAGGTCATGGAGCGTGCGCGTGTGAACGCGTGGCTGTGTGACCCGTCTGTCGGGTCCGAGATCCTGCACGAGAAGGTGGCGGATGCAACGGCGGCGTCGCACCTCGCTGATCGGCACGCGCAAGGCATTGTGGCGGCGCTTCAACACGGCAGCAATGGCCATGGCGAAATGGTGCTCGACTTTTGCCTCTTTCTTGCGCGTCTCGACAGCGAGTTTGACCTGGAGCTCACGGCCAAGCACTTGCGCAAGCCCGAGATGCAGCGTGCGCTTACAGCCGCGGCAAACACTGCGTCGCCTGTTACGCTGCAGCGCCTCAGCGACGTCTTTTTCCATGTGATCGAGCCCAAGCTTGCGTACGCCACGCCGGTTGTGAAGCTCGACACGGCGTTCTCCGATTCGCTCAAGCGGTCGCGCGCTCTCACAGCGCCCGAGACGACGGGGGCAGTGTGGGAGCCACCGAGTGTCGAAGTCGGGACGTTACCCGAGGCCGTCGAAGAGCTCTGTCGCCCGTACTTGGATGTGGTCGTGCCCGCCTTGCGCCAGCTCCAGGTCCGACTCGGCGCATTCCTTGTCAAGAATTTAGAGTCCGGCAGAACACCCAAGCACCAGGCGTACTGGAACATTGCGCAGCGATACGGCTGCTACCCCGAAGGCTTCGCCAACGACCTCACAAAAGAGCATATCGAGTCGTTGGTGAGCGAGCTCCAAAGCGCGTTCAGTGTCGAGGAAGTTGTCGACGAAAGCGGCGATGAAGAGGCGCCGGATCCGTCGCCGTTTTCCGCCAAGCCTACGACGCCAGAGGGTCGGCCGCTCAGTCATCTCGTTCGCGTCACGCCGCGGTCAAATGTGACGAACGACCCGCGAGAGCGCATCTGGCACACGCTCAAGCACCGCCTGGGTCTCGAGAAAGAGCTTTTCGTTGCCCAAGGCGGTGCTGCCAAGCCCGCGGCCACACGCGCCGTGCGCGGTGCCAAGGCCAAGTCATCGGCGACGACGGGCGAGTCCGCGCGGTCAGTGATGCTTGATGCACTGCTGGATCTCACTGGGCCGTTGACGCCCACCGCGCGCGCCGAGGTATTTCGTCTGATGCTCGACCGCCGCCTCCTTGTGCCATACCTCGTGCCATCGGAAACCGGCCTTTTTCGGTCGGAGGCCACGCCACTTGGTCTCATCGAGACGTTCATTGGGAGTCAACATGCTTCGTTGATGCGCGATACGTCCATCACGCGCGTCGCCGTTCTTTCGGAGCGTCCGACCAAGAGCAGTGTGACCAAAGACTGGATCAAGGGCATCTTCCACGTCGACTCGATGCACTGCCTCGACCGCAACCACGGCAATCACGTAACATCGGCGACCGTCGCGGAGCTCGGATGGGGCTTTGTCAAGCGCAACGCCGAGTTTACGCCCGTCATGGTGCTGCATGTCGTCGGCAACTACAAGCCACTCGTGCCCTTCATTCGAGCATTTGCGGACGCGGCCATTGTCGACGTTGGCAACGCCGACGACGAGGATGTGGCCGTGGCCTTGTCGCACGGCTGTGTTGTGCACTGGCGCAACGCCAACGAAGACGAAGACGACGAGGCGATTGACGGCAAGTCGGACGACGTCTTTACGCTCGCCATGAACTGCGCGAATTCAACGTCCCATGGTCGTATCACCGACTACATCTTGGACGAGACGGCGCCGCCCAATGCTCGGTGCGCGGTTGCCGACATTTCTCTGCCGACGCTTCTTTTACCGAGCGACGTTGTCCCACCGACGGCAACAAATGCACTCGAGCGCACCAACTTTGCAACGTTGCGCCGCGAGACGTTCCAGCTCCAGCTGCTCTTCGCCCAGGAGGCCCAATTCCAGATCAAGCTCGAGCGTGAGATCAACGTACCCGACCGCCAAGTGCTCACGCAGAATATTCGAAAGCTCAAAGACCAGCACGCGGCCAAGGTACGCGTCGTCAAGTCCAACCCACTCCTCTCGTACTTTTTGCGCGTGCTCGAGCAGCCGCATGCAGCGAACCGCGAGATGATGCTCATCGACCTCGAACGACGCCTTGCCACGAGCTGCGAGGCGATCAGCCAGTCGGCACGGGACCAGTACCGACTTGCGCGGGACGCGTTCAACAAGCACGGAAGCGCCAAAAACCGCAAGGCGTACGCGGCAGCGCTAGAGATGTGGAGCATGATGGTCACGGGCATCGAGCATCTCTGGCGCGAGCTCTCGCACATCTTTAGATCCGACCCCAACAAGTACCGGCGTCTGCCTCGGCTCGCAGCGCAGCACCTTCTCGATGGCTTTCCGCTCGAGCTCATGGACGGTGACGCGGCCATGGTCAACATCACATGGATCCGCGCCGTCTTCAACCAGCTCGGCGATCAACTGCCCAAGCGCACGCGCATCTTTGTGCTCTCGATCATGGGCGTCCAGTCGGCCGGCAAGTCGACGCTGCTCAACTACATGTTTGGCGTCCGCTTGCGCACGTCCGTCTCGCGGTGCACGCGCGGCCTCAACATCCAGCTGCTCAAGGTCGATGGCTCGGCTGCGTACGACTACGTTCTGCTGCTTGACACGGAAGGCATTCGGTCGCCCGAGTACGTTGGCATGGACGGCAGTGCGTGGCGTGACAACCGCATGGCGACGCTGGCCATCTTGCCATCCGACGCCACCATCATCTTGACCAAAGGCGAGTCGACGGTCACGATCAGCGAGATCCTCCCGATTGTGCTCTCGGTCTTCCTCGGGTCCGAGCTCGCAGAGCAGTACGGTAGCTACCTCACGGCCAACCTCTTCTTTGCGTTCAACCAGATCGACTTGACGCAGTCGAGCAACATGGAGACGATCGTCGACACACTCATGAAGGACCTCCGCGAGAACGCAGCCAAGATCGCCGAGATTCGTGCCAACGAGATCAGCCTCGAAGGCGCACCGTCGGTTGCGTCGTCCGTCGAGTACTTTCGCGACTTCCGTGCCGACATCTCCAACATGGACGGATGCGACGTGCGCTTCTTTGGTACGACGCACGGATCGAGCGGGCCGCCGCTCGACACGCCCGAGGCCGCGTACGGTGGCAACCTTCTTCGGTTTTGGGACCACATCAACGCCCGCGCTATGGAGCGTGGCGCTGACTGGCGCGGCCGCACGATCGACGAGTTCAACGAGGCGCTTCTGCGTGTCTGGACCTGCATCGGCACGGCCAACTTCCAGCTCAACTTTTCGGCGGCCCATGAGCAAGTGGCGTACGAGAACTTGATGCGGCGCATGACCGAGCACACGCGGGAGCTCGCCAAGCTATACTCGACGGCGTTCGACGACATCCTCAAGCGCATTTGCGACGACGACGCCAACGGTGTGCTATTTGAGCCCGGCAGTACGAAGTACGCGCTCTTCCTCGATGGCCAAGTCGTCGACGCAGTTGTGACGCTCGACGTCAAGGTGCACGCCGACCTCTCGCAGGAGAAGTTTGCGCAGTGGAAGGCAACGCTCGAGCGCAAGTGGGTCGACCTGAAGCACAACCAAGCCGAGCACTCGAAGCGGCTCGTCCAGGACAAGGTCGACCACGTCTTTCTCTTCGAGTCGCACGTCAAGCGCTACAAGAGCGAGCTGCAAGATAAGCTCACGCGCCGCATCGAGCAGCAGGGTGACATTGAAACGGCAAAGCTCTCGTTTGACTCGATCTTTGCCGACATGCTCGGTCGCATCAAGCTCGAGCACCCACCGCTGGATGTGCGCCACCGGGTCGAGGAAATCGTCTTCAACAACGATGTGTTCTCGCTCGACCAGCGTGTTGAGCTGCGGAAGATCTTGGAGGGCAAGGTTCGGACGCGAGACATTGGGCCCAAGGTGTGGTGGGGCAACCAAGTTGTCGAGTGGTTCAAGGGCACCAAGCAAATGAGCCCCAAGGACGCTGTGATCGACGCGATCAACGATATCTTGAACGCCGAGCTGGCCAACGTCCCGCGGTACCTTGACGACGTCGTGCTCAACGTGATGATCAAGGTCAAGATGTTGATCTTCAAAGAAGTGCCCGCATCACTCGTTTCGACGGCGCTCGCTGCGCTCTACCGCGGCCTCGTTGACAAGTTGATCAAGATTCAGATGCGCTGGGACCTCAACAACAGCGTCGTCACCAAGTTTGCCGCGTGCAAGCCGAGCATGAAGGCGTTTGCCGAGAACATCTGCAAGGGCCACAAAGCCGCGGGCCTCCTCATCGTGACGCTCGATGGGTGGCTCCAGCACCACCTTCACGAGGCGTTCGAAGAGCAGCTCGTCAGCGAAGTCGCGACGAGCCTCAAGAGCCAACGCTGGGTCCAAGACGCGCAAGCCATGCAAGCCTTCCTGGACAAGGACCTTTTGAAGCGCGTGCGAGCTGGCTCCACGACCCGCGTCCTCAGTGCGATCCAAAATCCACTGGCGCATGGGGCTGAAGTCAAGACGGAGCTCATTTTGGCCAAAGTACAAGAGTGCCATGATCGCATGGCCGAGGCCATCGTCGACAACGTCAAGGAAAGCATTGTTGTCGCGGCAGCCATTGCAGGCAAGGTCAACACGCGCCGCAGCGAGCGTTTCGTGCATGAGATCCGACTTGCGCTCCAAGACCGGCTCAAGCTCAGCGGTACGAGCGTACTTGTTGAGAACCTACCCAAGGCCGACAACGACGTGATGAACTGCGACGAGCAAGGCCCGGGCATCTTCACGAGCAGCTCCAAGCCCAGCGTCCTTAACGCCGTGCTTCAGAGCATCGATACGCACAAGGCCCAGCTGCGTGCATCGACGGGCGTCAGCACTTCCATGGCGACCAAAGTGCTCGAGCTCATCTGCGACGAGTCCTTTGGTGCATCTAGCGGTGTCATCCCGCGCTGTGGCAAGCCGTGCCCCCACTGCAGCTGCCCGTGTACCAAGGCGTTGGGCCATTCCAGCTTCGAAGACGACAAGCTCCACGACACGTACCATCAACCGGCCGGCTTGGTGGGCGTGAGTTGGTCCGGCTCCGCTATCCTCGTCGCTGAGAGCTGCGCCACAAGCGTCGTCGACGACAATACCATTCATTTCAGCGACGGCAAGGTCACTCCCTTCAAGGAATTCGACACTGCGTTCCCGGGCTGGGCTGTCCCAACTGTGACGCAGCGGTTGCCGCTGCGCGAGTACGTTTTTGCGAAGTACCAAGACGCGCTCGTGGAGCAGTACGGCCATTTCAAGTGCAAAGATATCCCAACCTCATACAACCACGACTTGGACGACCTCGGACGCACGATTGACCGCCTCTGCATGGGCATATAACTTCCCACGGCCATCCTTTTGGAGCCTCCATATTGCATAGTAGTACGACGAAATTTACATGTTTCTTGATATTCCTTTTCCCCACTGTGCAGCTACGCCATGCAATAGCTACGCCAATGGCTTCTGGCGCGGGGCCGTCATTGTGTTGAGATTGTGCACTCTTTGGTGGTTGCTGTCACCGACCCGACGCCATGTTGTCTTTGGTCGACGACAAACCAGTATTCAACAAATCAGTATTCGAAGCACACGACCGCTTCCACGACTCGTTGCCACAACAGGTCGGGTGGGCCGAATGCCCTTGAGGAAAGTCGCGACTCAATTCGTCGATTGCGCGACTGGAGCTTGCGGTAGCTCGAGCTCTCAGAGCGTCGAGCTCTAGAGCTCTACCGCCCAGGGTTGTACGAATTTGCAATCAGAATCATCAGCATACCAAGGCCAGGAAATTTTATGGCCTTGGACATTCGCAACTCGAACCAAAGCGCCCCGTTTGGTTCACAATGAACTCGATGTACTCGATGCTCATAGCGCGATAAACAGTCGAGGTGACAAATCGTCGAGCGCACTCATTGTTACAGCACAGGCTCCTTGGCGCGCAGCACATTTACGCTTGTGATTCCAGCGCGGTGACGTCGGCGAGTCGCGCAATGTCACCTCCGGCTCCATAAGCGCTACATCAGAGTACAATCGCATCACTGTCGTAGTCGTCCTCGACTAGCAGCAGCCCCGTGCGACATACAAAACCAAATGAGGCCGAACGTCCATCGTAGTCTCGCGCTTTCACGGCGTTGTCAATGTTCCCGAAAGCAGCGACGGAAAGCGTTGACCATTATTATTGCCGACTTGGCTCCTCCTCTTCGCTAAGCTTGTCGCAATACCACAGCCGAATATGATGACGAGGTTGAATGGTCTTGTGTGAGGATAGCGCCGCTGCTACCGGTACAGTGCTAGTTTGTAGTACGAGTGCAACCACACTGATGTGGTGCATGGCATGGTCTGGTGGGAGCAGCAATCCTTCTGCGGCATTTGATTGGTTCTTTTTCAAATTGAGCGCTTTATAAAAGCCAATGGCATCATCGCATCGAACGCATTCCGGACCAAGGAAGCACGAGCACACATGGGTCGGACCCGGAAGCGGCTGCTAGACGTACGCATGATCGTCGACGCCTTGGAACTCATGCTTGGACGTAGGCGAACGAAGGCGCTCGCCCATCCAAGCGTTCGTCTGGCGCGGTATGTCGCAGCCACATGCT